ATTCAGAGTTGGGCCATTAACGGTCATACGAAGCTGCTGTTGTAGTTTAACTCTCATCTTTAAGTTGGTTTTTTTAGAGGGAAAGCAATAAAAAAAAATGCTCTGAATAATCTGAAAGTTTTCAGGAACAAGAAGCACGAGACGTTTTATCCCGAGGTTTTAGCTTCTCGCGTTCATTTTGCTGAAACGATTATTCTGGCTCAAGAAGCTGGACTGCGCATTTCATTGTTTCAAACCGACCGACCTTGCTAGAGTGCACTTGTTGACGCTCGCCAACTCGCATTTTGCTACATTAAAACCAAAAGCTTTAAATCTAGGTCAAGACGATCCTGTCTAGTTTGCTGATTTTCCCAAATATCTCTGCTTGTCCACGGAAACTACGTTAGTTTGAATTTTAACTCTGATTTAGTAGGGACGGTGCGGTCAGGGTTATAAGCAAGGTCAGGTTTCCTCTACATTTGAGTAAATTAGACGAGAGCATCTTCTTCCACGTGTTTTTTCTGTGTCCTCTCAATAGCTTAAAGCAAACTGGAAACAAATCTTGTTATGGCTTTCTCTCAGCAATTACTTAATGACACTCTGCCATGAAAACTAAATGTGAGGAGTGTATGACTAATAGCTGTCCTTTTCACCAAACGGAGCTGCGTCTCTGTAGATCCTTCAGAGTTACCATCAACCTCTGTTTTCTCTGATAAATGGCAGATTTTGAGAATATTAGTAGATACTTTTTTCAGCTTTATATTTTTAGTCGTTTTGTGAAATCATGCATTCTTATTCTTCAGTGCCACATAAATCATAATGTAATGTGACAAAGTATAAAAAAAAGTTTGATTGCTTTTTACAAGGCCCTGTGTAATAAAGTAATTTTTACAACCTCAGATTTTTTTTAATGGAGACATTTTTGGGGGTTTTTTCAGAAAGGAAAATGGATCAATAAATCTAAAAATCAGATACAAAATCTATTAAATCTAGTAATGGGGAAAAATCAGCTTCAAGGACAAATGAGAAGCAGAAAGACAGACGTGAAGAAGAACAGCTGAAGATTCGGGGTTGCTGCAGGAGAAGCATGTGGGTTGGATGTTCCTGTTTTATTATGGTTTCACCAAGGATTTATGGACTATACCTGCATCTATCATTATGCAGCAGTTCTGATTATTTCTAAAGGCATTTACCTCATCTACGCTGTATTTTCCACCAGTCTTCACCTTGTCATCAATACCACGTCTGATGAATTATACATAAATAAAAAAGATAATGAAATTATAGCATTGCAATCATCCTAAAGTGCGCAAGATCTCTTTCTCTGCCAAGTCATCATTATCCACAGTGGATAAGCACTCACCAGGCTGCACTGGGAGCAGTTTCCAGGATGCAGCCAGCCAATCAGATTAAAGCGTTTTAAATGACTGCTCTTCATCTGAAGAGACCATCCTCTTCACACAGACCACCATCTGGGAGTCCAACCTGGTCATTAAAGCTCAGAGGAGCGACCAGACACACACATGCCTGACCCATCCTCTGTTTCCTGAGGGGTTTTAATGTAAAAAAAAAACATTAAAATGCCAACACAAACGCACCACAGTGTAACCTTGAGAAAGGCCATCTTCTCAAATGTCCGGACAGGAGACAAACGGACGAGCTGGCATTCCCTAATTATGGCGTCCTGCGGGGACGAGACGCTCAGATAGGCTTCACTTGAGGAAAAGACGTAAAGGTTGAGAGTCAGAGCGAGGGGCCGGTTTTTTACGGCCTCCTGCTGAACGGGCCAGGAGCCCTACGCATTTATCTTGAACTATGTAGAAGAAATCCCAAACAGCATAAATAAAAATGCACCATGAAAAGAAGGGAGGAGGAGCAGAGGCTGGCCGGGACGTGGACTGAGGAGAGATTATCTCTCTCTAATGGCTAACTTGTTGACAGCAACACTTTTCGCCACCCCTATCTACACATCTAACGTTACAGCGGGGCCCCAGCGCTCAACACGCCCACAGACGTGTACTTCCTCTCCTCTTTGCAGGGTTTATCAGCCCTGTTGTCAGCGGGCTTCAGGGATTTATGAAGATATCAGACTCTGAAACCCTGAAATCCACGAGGCCGGCCGGAGACGTCACCGCCGGAGACGACCCCGACTTCCTCTCGGGTCCTTTTTGCAGCCGATGCATGCGGTTTTACAAGCTTCGGGCTTTTTCTGCTGCGTTTCGCACGAATCCGTCTCAGTGATTCACAACATATAAAACAAGATTGTTGAACGAATTCCGTCCAATAATATGTATCCACTGCTCATCTGTATACACACACAGAGCAATTTCACCGTTTAAAATAAACTACTTGTTGACAGAATGAGCAGAATGTTTGACAGAGAAGCTTTAATCCCTCAGACATTCGATTATCTTCTTTTACAACCGGCTTCTTGCGTTTAGATGGTTCATAAACACTTTGAGTGAGAAGGATTTGGGGCAAAACTGAGTATAAAATCCAAGAAAGAAGACGAAGAGTTCATGAGAATGTCAAGAGAGTAGAAATAACTGAAATACAAAATGGCAATTCATGTCCACAAATAGAAAATGTGATTAAGGCTCAACAGACACGACAGTGACGTTTCTTATTTTTGGCCACTAAGATCAATTCTACGTATGTAATTATGAATTTGTTCTATTCTAATTTTGCACAAGAGCTTCTTCACAGTTTTCAACCTTCTGAATACAGTAATATACATTTTTGCTCACTCTGTACCTTCATTTGATGCTTCATGCTTTTTCGCTACATTTAGTAAAAACTTTGGCCGTTTTTGTCTCCCTTCATTCCACAATTTTTGGTCTCCGTTGTGATTATTGGATATGTCTTCATATATGAAAATTGTGATTAAATCTTGATTATTTTTGAAGAAAAGAGAAAAAAAAATCATAATGTTTGCCATATTACCAACCTCTTGGTTTGATAATTTAGATAAATCTTTAGGGATCGTTTTAGATAAAAAAATTAAAAAAAAATCTTAGAAAATATCGATGCTTCACTCTATAGCTCCCAGCCATGTTCAGCGTCTCTTCCTCGTCTACAGCTGCAAAAGTACTATACATATTTATATATCACAAATGCATACGCGCAGCAGTGAATCAACGAGTTATACCATTTGTTATATGAAAGCTTTTCACACAAAGTGAGTCACTGCAGACACTTGTGTGTTTTATGATAGCTGTCAGAATGGTGAACTCGGTCCAGAGTTCCCTCAGAGCTGCAGTTAGTCAGACTTGGATTTCAAACAAGTCCCTGCATGGCCCAGATGAAGGCAGAGCAATTTCTCTATACTGAGAGAAACATTTGTGCAAGATTTCGACCAAAATAGTCCTGGTCTGCACCGCAGAGCGGGAGAGCTGCCTTCATTTAGGTCGATGGGGTTGGCAGACACACACACACACACACGCAGATAGGCTGCCTTTCACCACTGTCAAGGGTAGCCAAAGTCATATGGAATGAGACCGTGACAATGAAAACATTAGGCTTGGACATGAATTTCTATAAATTCAAATGGAATAAAGTCGGAACCCTTTTTCACCTTGACTGCGAGTTGAATAACTCACGCAGTCGGCGCTCAAGTTCAAACCCATCATTTACATCGAAAAACTCCTACAGAGTTTAACTTGTTGAACTCTGAGGCGGTGGTGCCACCGACCGGGGCCCCCAGTGGGGCGGCAGGCGTTCTCACATACGTCTGTGGATTTAAGAAAAGGAAGACAACTTTGACCCTGAATTATTTCGCGTGCTTAACCAGCTCGATAAAGATTTCTTCTCCAAGCGCCATCATCTTTAGCCACTAAGTTTTGTTTTGTTTTTTCAAAAGGTTTCTCCACGTTGACAAGGTAAGTCCACTAATTAATAATGCTGTAAAAACTCTCTACTCGTGCATCTTTTGCTACATTAAACTCATTTTTTTTCTCCTGTGTTTTATGAAAACGATCACAAGCATCCTCCTCATTTGCCTTGAATCACTGCACCACTACCTCATGTACATCTCCTAATTTGACAAACGATTAGGAACAAAACTTCAACCTTATAGTATCAGGGCACCAACTACAACAATCTGCAAAAAAAATATATTTCTTGGGTTACTGAGAGCTACATTTTAATTAAAAAAAAATACATTTGTAACTACAGAGTGTCCACGAACAGCACAAAACCAGGACAGAAAGGACAAAAGAAACTAAACAATTTGAAGGGTCAGGCTCTACACAAAAGTAGCAGATTAAAATGAGTTCAGGGTTAATCTTTATTCAGCGTTTCAGATAAATTCTGCTGGTGTGTTGCTGTCAATACATGAGAGATTATTTTGTCAACTCAAACCACAAAAAATAAATAAATAAATATATATATCAAATGGCCACATAATGTCAGCAATTATTAGTTTTAGAGTTTGTTTTCTGGAAAAAGACCTTTACCCGTTTCAGAAATTCACATCTGGAAAGAACATAGGATAACTAAATGGATGTAAATAAGCTGGCAGGTTGCAAACACTGCATCCCAACATAGTCCGTATGCTAACTGGTGAATGACATAATCACCTACATTTATGTTTTTAAACTTTATTTCAGGTAAAAATGTAATAAACTGAAGAAAAGTAGTTCCAATTGGAGGCGAGAGCTTATTTCAAAACATCAGGGTGATGAACCCGGTGCTTGTACCGCCCCCTAAAACGATAATGCCCTGGGTGGTGGGTAACTATAAAATGCACCAAATGAATGTTGGAATCCCTGAAACAAAAGTTGTTGATTTTTTGGCATTCAGAAAACCCATCAGTGCCCACCCGGCCGCCCCCCCCCCCAACACTGACACTTGGCCACCCGTTTGAAAGTTTTCTAGACTCGGCCCTGGTCTCAGGACAATCAACTTTAAAAGAAACATCAGGAAAAGTTGGGAACGTGTGAAGCCAGATAGAAATGAGCCAAAGTTCTAAACGCGTTTCCTCAAACATTATTAATAAAATAAGACAAAACCACAGTTCCTACCTTCTCTTCTTCTTCTTCTTCTTGTTCTTCTTCTTCTCTGGAGTAGAAATGCTGCTCAGCTCTGCTGGGGGAAAAAAAAAAAAAGAAAAATCTCCTTCCACCATCCGAGGTGTTGAAGTCTGTCTGTCCGGTTGGAAACTTCACTCGCAGTGCTGTTTTTCAGGCTGCTTTTTTTTTTTTTTTTTTTTTTTACGAGACGCGCACAGATTCCTTCAAGTGTCACTTTCTGGACCCCTTCCTCCCTTCTTTTCTTTCCTTTCCTTTCACTCCTCGATGTCTAAAGTCCTCCTCTTGGTCACAAAAGCGGCCGTTTTTATGAGGCGGTGCAGGCGGCAGCAGCTGCTGGAGGAGCGCGAACCGTGGACCCTGGTCCGGGTCAGTCCCCAAGTCGTCCCGCCGGGATAAGAGTCCTGTTCTCTCTGCTCCGTCCGCTTCAGCAACAGGTGGGAGAAGTAAAGTGAGACTTCTTCGCAAGTTCTCAAAGCACTTCCCAGAGAATTACGCACGGAGGGGAAGGAGGAGACCGCGGCTCGCCAAAGTTTTTACGCGCACGTAAACGAGAGCGAGAAGTTGGAGCTGCAGACACAGAAGAGGGAGTGGAGAGAAACGACAGAGCTCCGGAGTGGGCTTTTCCTCCGCAGCTGTCCTCCGCTCTCAAGTCTGTCCGCCGCTACAGAGAGACACGAGGGAAAGTGGTAAATAAGGATGAAGAGGAGGAGGAGGAGGAGACCAGAACTTTTTTTTTTTAAGTTATCAAATTTCTCCTAATCAAGAAACGATGCTAAGAAGATATCCTACAGTTAGCTGCTGGCTAGCCGCTTAATGAGACTCACCTGTGCGCAGCTGCAGTAGGGTTACAGTTAATCAAGTCTTACTGTATAGACCGGAAGTGCACAGCAACGAAATACGTTTACTTATTTTTGGGAGGGAGAGACGGGGCAACGACTCCGGAGAGCGGCTTTACTGTACAAAATGCTCTTTTGCCGATACTTCAGTAATATCTGGAGGCTGCTGCTACAGTTTCTCTCTTTGAGTTTTGTAAACACGGAACTTATTTTGTCAAATTTTTTGACTGTCGCTTTAAAAGTATCAACATTTTCCCGTTACTCCACCTTTAGAGTTGGAAAAAAAAAAAAAAAACACTTTACGGTTACGTAAGTAATGAAACGTCAATCATTACGTGACATTTTTGGTACAGGTGATGTGGCTCTCCACCCAGGGCGGCAGTGGTCCGAGGGGCGCCACAAACAACTTCCAGAGTTTTACTATGGGCCACCATAAAAGGAGGCAAACATAAAAGAGCAAACTAACTATTTGTAATAAATCACACAAGTAGCACCAAACAGATAAATGCATTTTTAGCTCATGGTGTATTTGAACTTTTTTTTTTAATGTGTCATAATCCTTGGAATAAAAATTGTAAATCATCAGATCAGACGTCAAAGAAAGCTTAATCAGCGCATCTCTTGATATTGGCTTTACATTTTATTAAACTTTATCATTGATCTCAGAAGGATTTTGTCTGCCTGACTGGTTAATTATAGCTTTAAATTTCCTTCAAATATAAGCATCTAAAATCAGAATAAGTGAAAATCTGAACTATTAGGTCAGACCTTGAATTTAAAAAAAAAATCATGATCTGTGCATCTGCAGTTGCTTCTGAATCTAAACTCAGTCCAGCTCTTTCTCCCCATCCCCATCATTTTTTCCAAAACAAACCTCTAACTCGGTTCTCCAGAACTGACCAGAACCCGATATCCAGTAAGATGATACGTTTTCTGTAACTCCTACCTCGCTGACAGAAGAAAAGGCAACATTTCTTCTTTATTTGACACATGCAGTTGTCATATTGTCACATTGTTTTACCTCTACAAGATGTGGCTCACATATTTTACAGGTAGGTCCATTTTCTTTTTCAGCGTTTATTGACATCACACAAGTGAGCTGCAAAGGAAAGAGTGAAGAGGTCAAAGGGCACCCCGAGTCTGACAGCCGAGAAATATAATTTATATCCCAGAAAGAGACAAAATGTACAGGAATAACGGTGAGACAAAATCAAATAGACGATTTATTAAAGATACTAAAGACAAAAGATTCACAAGTGTAAACATGAGGCTGAGACTGAGCTAGCAGACAGCAGACATGATATGTGGAAACACTGTTAAGTACGGTGGATGACCAGTGATGCTGTGGGCCTGTTTCCCCTCCAAAGAGCCCCGGGAACCTCTAGAAATACCACGAGATCTGAAATCTGAATCTGTTCTCCCACCAAGCTGAAAATGAGCCACATTATTCGGTCTTTGAGCCAGAAAACATCTTCCACGGTCGCATCAGTCCTGAGGGTGACGTGGGCAGAAAAACACAAGACTCCGAAGGATTTAGAGAAACGCTGTGATGATCTCACTTTTTGTTTGCACCGAGCTCCTCAAATGTTAAGGAAGATTAAGTGCTGCACTCTAATTACACACAGTGGATTATTCTAAATTTATCAGTTGGAAGTTATTCTACTCCAGTAAAGTAGGAATTTATTTTAAAGCTTTTTAACTCATCTTTTCCAGGGACACCGCAAAAAAAAAAAAAAAAAAAAAAGGTTTGGCACTCCAGATGCAAAATGACTTGTACGAAACACATAATGTAAGAAAAAGACATGAAGTAATAAATAAAATTCAGATTACATCCTAAGGAAACCTTTTTTTTCCCCTCAAAATGCTACATAAATTTGATTCAAATGAGCAGAAATATATCAATTCAAAGCAAAAGAAAAAAAAACACATATTAAGGAACATTTCAGTGAAAAAAAATAATAATTACAAACTATTCCTGGCGTGGTTTTTACTGTTGTGTTTCTGTTGGACTTCTCACGAAGCCGGTTGCTTCCTAATCCGTCCCTGTCTGCAGAAGGTAGAAACCTGCCAGACGAAGCCGGATTCGCAGTCGATCTAAATTCCCGACAGCTTGGACTGAAAACCTGCCAGCAGAAGGTTTAAAGGTGAGTCTCTCTGCCCACATCAGTGAGCCTGGATCCGTCTGGCCTCCGTCGCCTGGTGGCTCGAAAACGCAAAAGTGACAGAACTGGAACGACCGAAAAGGAAAATGTCATCAGTGTCGGAGGATGTTTGGTCTGTCGGCGGCTAACAGCTTATTTTAGCAGCCCGACTCCGTTGATGTTGTTTTTGTTTCCCCTTAAAGAGCTTCCTCCTTCCCGCTCCCCTCGGCTCACTCATCCAAGACTGCAGCGATTGATTTACTTTAGAAAACGATGATTAACGAACCAAACCACGGCCGTAACAATCAATCATCATTTTAGCATAAAAACCAATCAATCCAGCCTGAATGTGAGCTGTAAGTTGTTTGTTTTGCTTTCCATCCATCACCTTCATCCTCTTTTTCTTTTCTTTTCTTTTTTTTTCTCTTTTCAGTCCATGTTTGATGTGATGATTGAAACCACATCGCCTCAAAACCGGCGAACGATTCTCCGCTGGATACGAGAAGGCAAGTTCGAAACGACGACACGCCAAGCGCCTCTGTAACGTGCCAAACAAATATCTGTTGTAATCTCGACTCTGTAAAGAAAGGCATGAGTTTTTGTGTGTCTAAATGAATAAAACAAATAGGATTCTTACAGTTCCCCCCGCCCATCTCTCTTTTTAACTGGATCTGGATAATTAAAAGCCAAGTTTCAGCTACTGCAAAGTTTCCAACGTGCAATAATAACTCAGAGCAGCGGGAAGCTCCTCCCATATGGTGCTCCCAGCAGGATCAAGCAAACACAACTTCTGTTTGGCAGCAATTCTGTGCATCACATCCCACACGCTGTACAGCAGCTTCCGTCTGAGTTCAATGCAAAATACAGCAGCAGCAGCAGGCAAAAACCTCCCCTCTAAAGAGATGGATTTCGACTGGGTTAATCCTGCGGAGTATCGGCAGAAAACATTCTCCTGAGCAGCAATGCTGAAAGACACCTCAAGGCGTTCTTCCTTACTTTTCTCAAAATGAATGGTCTGTAGAATAATTTTAATGCTAGGGCAAAAAAAAAAAACAAAAACAAAAACTAAAAAAATGTATCCTTTAAATCAGAGATGATGTCGTTCTTCAGTGCGTTTAAGGTGTTGCATTTGATAAAATTCATAGTTTTAAAGTCATGCAGGACAAAAATGTAGCAAACGTTTGCTGCAAAAACTTAATATAAATGTTTAGCACAAGTTTGAAGCCACTGCCGTCAAAAACAAACAGCATCGCACTAGTTTTCCCATGATCCTCTCTGACTGATAATCATCTTGTCAAACACTGAAAAATCGGATTATTTTCTTATTCGTCTCTTCGGCATTTAAGCGGAAAAAGTGTAATTTTGTTTGGAGTATAAAGTTATGCTCCATGTTTGTTATTTTTTCATAATTCCTAGAAGGCAAATCTAAATCAGCAAGTCAAGGTATGTGTAAATAAACCCAGAAATTGGTATCAATTGGTATGAGAGGAGAGGATGCTAAATATTTAGCTTGGTGAAGTTTGCACAGAGAACATCTTAATAAAGTCGTATCCATTTTATTATTAAAATAAACTAGGTTTAAATTTACGAATCCGTAGGAAATCTATTTGTTCTAACATTTTTTTTAATCACTCCTCTGCATCGCGTGGTTGAAATGAGTTCAATAAACCTGATTATTTCATCTCAGCTCTCAAATTCTTGTTTTAACATTAAAAGATTCACACTTCACAACAATAAAACAAACAAACAAACAAAAAAAACAGTCCTTTGGTTAAAAATTAATGCAGACACGCGTTAAAACGTGGCACCAAATGAGAAAGAAAAGTCATTTTCAAAAGCTTCAGGGATAAAAGTCAGAACATTTTTCATGTAGGTAAATATTTCTCTTCAGATTTTTGTTTATTTTATTTTGCAGACTAACACAAAGTTAAATTCAGCGGGATGCGAGTTTCAGCAGCGATGATAAAACGATGTTTGCTGCTCAGTGTGGTGTGTCTCCACTTTTCTACCCATTTCTCTCCATCACATAAATCAGCGACTCATGCAGCCGTATCTCTTCTTCCTCCTCCTCCCGGTCGCTCTGCTCATCCCCTCCGCCTCACTCCGCTGGCTTTTATTAGGACTGTAGATGGAGAAAGCAGAAGTCTCTGCAGAAAAAGCATGCACACAGACGGGGTAAAGGGGTGCGTTGCCATGTGTGAGGGCAAAACGCGTGTTACGTTTACAGACTGTCGGGAACTCGCGCTCTGAGAGCAGAAAGAAGCACATTCACCTGAAACTCGGAGCCGGGAGGTCAAAGCGCCAGGTGAGGGTCAAAGTCAGGTCTGTTGCACCGCATTTTCCGGTTCGGCGAGCGTCCACCAAACACCCATTACGAACGTGTGTGTGTGTGTGTGTTTGTGGAGGCCGTCTCTGTGTCATTAATCTGTTTGCGCGCCTAGGAATCGGACAGCGGCACGGTTAAAACCCAAACAGTCAGACGGCTTCCTGCGCAGCGGGAGTCGGTGTGTGTCTTGTGTGCTGAAGAGCTGGTGTGAGGCGAAAGCCTTTCTGAAGGACACAGGTTCAGATAAAAAAAAAAGAAAAGAAAAAAAGGCCTCCGGTATGCAATCGCGTCCCTGAAGTAGGCGGAGAGGAAAATAAACCACTTGCACAAGATAACAGGCACCGTTTAGTCTGCATGTGGAAGAAGATAGAGAGCGAATGGAGGAGGAGGCGAGTGGAAACCAGAGGAGAGGATACGATAATATGCAGAGGTACATATGGCGCTGGTGTTCATAAAAGTTTTAATAGAGCTGAGGTCGCGGTCATTCCAGAAGCTTGATGTTTTAGCCATACCAAAACCAGTTCCGATGTGCGTTTTGGATGAGTTTTCTGTAAAAAAAAATAAAATAAAATAAAAAGACACAAACTGAGTTCAGGTTTTGAAAATCTAGCTGTTGATTTGATGTGAAATAAAAAGGAATTGGGAGGGTAATCCTTCTTCTTCATTATCCCATCTTCATTTACACAAGTGGACAAGCTGGATGTCTGACCAACGCAGAGCTCAAAATCCAACATGTCTGCCTTACAAAAAAAAAACAAAAAAAACTTAGTGATTGCTGACACCCCCCCCCCCCCAATAATTATTTCCACTTTGGTGATCTGCAAATTAAACATTTCATTCATTTTTTGTGGCTTTACCCCCAAGAGTGGAAGTAAGAAACACTGTATTAATGCACGTAAAGGTAAATTTGACGGATATGAGGATCTTTTTGAAGCATTCATGGGTGGCTTTGGATCGTAACCCTCCCCAATACCGAGGGTCCACTGTAATCTCATTTAGCGAACATAATGTTACAGTGTTTGACAGTCCCAGAAAGAAAGAAATATGTTATTAGGTTGTAGTAATAATGAAAGATGGCCTCGTCACCGAGAACCTCAGTTAGCAAATCCCACCAGTTTTCAAAGATACAACTGGAGAACAGCTAAGGTAGTTTGTAGCAAACTCCTGGTCCTGGTCAGGATTCATCTGGTACAGCTTGTGCTGCGCACGTCTATTTTCATTGGATTTCGACGAAGCAGCATTCAGTGTGCTTGGATAACCCACATGCTCAGCTCTTGGAGCTCATTAGCTGTACATCACAATTAATTTGACCTTTTTTTTTTTTCTTTTTCATATTCAGAACTGAAGTTCTGCCAGTCATGTCTGCAGTTCGAGAATCCTGGGTTTAACCAATTTACTTTCCTCTGAAGGCGACGGTTTGGGTCAAATGACTGAAACAAGGACAATGACCACACACACACACACACACACACACATTAAAACTGCTAACATTCAGCTTCAATAATTCGACACAAATTGTGTCCTTTGTTCTTACAAAATCAATTCCAATGATCTGTGATCAAATATTTACTCAGATTAATGAAAGAGGTCAAAAAGTCAACAAATGTATGTAAATAGATGAGGATGTAAAAAAAGAAAAAAAAAATTTTTTTTTGAAGCTGTGCCTCAAATTCTACTTTTCAAAAATTGCCGAAGCAGTTTTATGAAGTCTCAGTTCGTCCTGCAACAGGAAAGGCTCAAATAAACCTTTAAAATTCCCAGAGATTGTCTACAAGCGCCTAATGTCACTGACCTTTTCTTGCAGACTTTAGCCTCTTGTTTCCTTTTGCCTCCTCCATCTTCTTCCGGATGCAGACTAAACGGAGCCCGTCATCATTTTATGTGTAAACAAACCGTAAAGGACGTGTCGAAACGACAGAAACGGACAGAGCACAAAGCAAAAGTGAAGATAAAGCATTAATTTATTTATTTCATTCTCTCACATTCTGATTTTTCGATCCACAACAAGTTCAAAGTGAGTTGCAGTCAGCATCCTTCCCAGTAATGGACACGATCGGTAAAAAAACAAAACAAAAACACAAGAAATACCAAAACAGAAAACAGAAGAAGGAATTTACACACAAGCTCAAATCTGACTGGGTCTCTTCCTTAAATGAGACACACCTGGGTTTTCAAACCATCCATAAAATCTGTGGGATCAATAAATGTTTCACTTAAGAAGCCAAGGGCTGACTTTCGTGCATATAAATCAGCTCAGAGTCCAAAAAGCATAACCTTCATAACTTAAAAACCAGTTAAGATTTGAGGACGCGTCATAAATCCAAGTCTTCCAGCTTCGTGTCCAACCAGGTGACGTTTTGAAAAGAAAAGCCTCAAGACGGACAAGACACAGCCTCGAAACTCACACAGCCGATTCAAAAGAAGGGAAAATAATGTTTACTTGAAATCATCTGCAGCTCTGGACCGTGCTAATACTGTCAGTGTTGAACTCGACAAGAAACTTTGAAGAGTCTTCCCGGTGGAAACAAAGTCTAACAACACATCCAATTATTCACAAAATGGCAAAAAGAAACAGAGTTTGACACCAGAACAACAAAGATTATACTTTTTTTATGCATACTTTTAAAAGAAACAAGAAAAATATATCTGTATTTATATGCAACACTTACTTCTCGGAAAGAAACAATGACGTTTCAGAAACTATTTGACCTCTCGGTGACTCTAAAGGGAGGCTCGTGAGGAAGATGCGCTGAGGAATTATTTGAAGTCAACCTGATTTCAGTCGGGACGACGTGACTAAACCAAAGACGTGTTTTGTTTTCACAGAGGCGATCCGCGTTTACAGCACGTCCGAGTGCTTGAGTAAAGGTTCTGTTGCGAGATGTGTCGTCGTTTCGGGTTTTTTTCATGATGAGCGACGACAGACGGCAAACTGAGACGCCGTGATGCTAATGAAACGAACTCCTCGACGATTTACACGACGATTTACAAGAAACCAGAGAACCTTCCGCATTTAAGCCGAACCCCTGGTAGAGAAGGATAAAAACGGCTTTTGACAAAATCTAATTTTTAAGCAGTGGAAAAGCCACGTCAAGAAATATTAACATTTAAATTCATCTATCATTTTTCTTAAGACGCATAACTAGTTAAAAAAAAAAAAGACAAAAAACCCCACAAAATTTTATTAAGGCATATGCATTCTGATCTTCAAAAGTCAATAACAGATAGCTACATGCTTAAACTTGTCAATATTTGGAGTGGCTGAAATGTTTAAAATAACTATAACTTGGACACAATGTTAATCCAGGTTTAATCTGGTGGTGTGACTGAGCTCCCCATCAGAGCTTAGTTATTAGATTAGGTTAATTTGCCATAAATCAATTAGATACGTGAAGGACCTATGACGCCGTTTTCTCCTCCAAAGGTCCTGGAAACCTCGTTGCAAAAACTTCAGTAAAATCTGGTTGCCTTTATAACATTTTAACACGATAAAGAGCCAAAACGTTTGGAAAAGTCAACTTTCTCCCCATAACAACCTCCATCTAAAGATGCTTCCACCTTGTGGCGTTGTATTAGAGGACTACGTTTTGTCAAATAAGAAGAAGAGGGGTGTACAAAGTACAAAAGGCAGAACAGGAAAAAAAAATATTACTGCAAATAAAACAAACAGCAAAAAACCTCATCTGTTTTGAAGCATTTTACCAATCCTTACCAGGGTTGCCTATAGGTGTAGAAGGTACTAAAGACATTTGGACATTTTTTTTATCAAACACCTGCAGAGAAAGGAACAAAAACTGACTAAAAGTTAAAAAAAAAAAGATAGCAGCAAATGATGCAAATAGCGAAAGGCAGCTGAAATAAACACGCTCAAATTGATCAAATAATAATAAAAAAAAAAAAATGTGGCAACAACGTGCAAGTCTAGCATCAGAAGCACCCTGGCAAGCCCAAATAACTTTTTTTTTTTTTTTTTTTAACCCCCTTTTCTCGGGTTGAAAATATTTTCCCAGAGTGGAACCGCAGCCACCAGCCAGGACTTACAAGATGGTTAGTGTAACAGATGGTCAGTGCAGCAGAAGTGCTTTCTTTCTAAGAAGAGTTAGAAAAATATATCTATTCTGATTTAATCTGCCAATAAAGCACTTTAAACTGACCAAGGGACATCGTTTCCTTCAGCTGGCACAGCTTGTTGATATTGGAAATGTGTTTTTCTGTCGCGATGTAACACCAACATTCCTCTTAAATTAGAACAACTAAAGCACAGTTGAACTTCTTCAACGTTGATTTTCTTTCCGTTTCAGGAGGATTGTGGCGGCTTGCAGGAGATGTTATTTTTATTTATTATTATTTTTTTTTTTCCCCGGTGTGTTCGCGCTCAATGTTTGACTTTTGCATGCAAGCGAGTGTGATTTTTTTTTTTTCTTTTCCAGTCAGTCTGTGAGCGTGTGTGTGTGTGTGTGTGTGTGTGTGCAAAGGTCAGTCAGCAGCTGTCCTCCAAGGCATTGACGACTTGTTCCAAAATGTCCGGGCACCGGTCGGCAATCTGCTGCAGGACCTGATTGGCGTACTCCTGGAGCTCCGCCTCCTCCTTCTCACACAACGCTAACTCCGCCTCCAACTGAAAGAAACGCAAAAAAGGGAGGAGAAAAACGTAACAATTTTGTGACCACAATAAAAGACTTTCCCTTTCTGAAAACCTTTTGGACGTTGGATAACAAAATATGAACCTTTAGGTAACTAAACGATACTCCAATCTTATCCACAAATTATGAAATCAGTTATTGGTGTAATATTTTCCATTTATGGGAAAGTTGAAGGCCAAATTCTTCCACTTCACAAACTGTAAACTCTTGTATTTTCAAGGACAGCAAAGCACATTTTGTGAATATTACTTCCCTGTAGAGATTTATGGCAATGTTTCAAAGCTCAACAGCGTCGTACCATTCCTACTGTAAGAAAGCAGATAAATAAAAAAGTGCCAGTAAAAGTGTGTCAAGACCGGTTTCTTCCGAGACCAAGACCAAGTTCGAACGTTTAATTTCCACAAATATTTCAGGCAAAAAGTTGCATTTTTGCAATTCGACAAAATTGCATTTTTGCACTTTTGCATTTGCAAAAATGCAAGATATTTCGTTTTTGCATAAAATGCAGAAATGAATGGAAAAACAGTTCAATTAACCAAAACTACTTCTTGGTATTAAACTACTGGTGATCATGAACTAATAACATTAGTCTATTACAAATGCAGCTAGATATTGAGTCACATTGTCAAAACTAAATCAGTTCATATTGCACAATAGTTGTATTAAAATGTAAAAAAAAAAAAAAAGAAAAAAAAGGAGAGATTAGGCTAATGAAGATTTGTCATATTTTTTAAAAATTAATACGATCCTCTGAATAAAAACTAATCAGACATTAAAAAGCTTACTGTTCCTAAAAACACATATTCTGGACAGATTAATAAATGATTAGGCATTTTAATATCATTAGTTCATGCAAAAACGCAAATGGCCTCATGGGGAATTCTCAGATCCATCAGAACCAATAGAATCTGTGGGATTTACAAAAATCACCTGGCCAACAGGGACAACAGATTACAGGAGCCAAGTGAAAATATTTTCTCCAACATGGATTATGACCACAGGACATCGAAGGCATGACTGAATTTATGCTTTTGGCTCGACGTAATGAGACTTATTTTTCCCCTCTTCACCGGCTGCCGGTTCAGTGAGTTTTAAACGCGACGCTGATGCACCGTCGGAAAGATCAGGAATTAAGGCGCAAACTCTCAGCCGCAGCCAAAGCAGTGTTGCTGCTTTATGCATATTATTATTTAGCTGCTTAGTGTTTGCATTTCCTTAGTGGGAAATGGAAAGAGGTCTGGAATTTTTTTTTTTCCCCCCATTCTTCTCCAGACCTGGCAAATTATTTCAGTAAATCCTAAACTTTAGGATTTGAGTATATCTCAAGATGGGTACACCCCCCTCCCAACCCTAACACCTCCAGTCTAGAGCAGGTTCCCCCCAGCCCCCCATGCATTTGTGTCTGTTTTAATGTTGCAGATATGTATCCATAAAGTGAACTAGATTGGGTTTGTGGGTGGGGTGTGTAAGACCCAACTGCAGAGTCTATCCCACCCCAACCCCAATGCCCTAAGCACTAAAACTGAGATGCAGGACGGGGCTCAAGAAGGCAGGGGGGTTGCTACATAGAGCTCCACCCGATGCCTCCCCCCCCCCACCACCCATCCCTGCTCCAGTCCAATGTGGCGCAGAGCACCATGGAGAGATGTTTGCAATTTGACACTTCTAAAGCGTGTTTGAAGTCAAACGCCTACAAAACAACTCCTCAGATTATAATATATGTGAGCCGGTAATCTGAAAAGACCCGAGCGTAGCTCCTTCTCTTCAAACGGACGGGAACGTTTCTGCAGCAAAGCAACGCTGCTGTTTTCTTTGGCCGCGGCGGAGCTGAGACGTCAAATCTAACCGGCTTAATGACCAATACATCTGTATCAATAAGAGCGCCGCTTAAACATTCGTGTAACACAAGCCTACATTTATGATGGTGTGTGTGTGTGTGTGTGTGTGAGGCCTGGGTCAGATACTGGCAAGTATCCCCTCGTTATAGCCGAACCTCTTCATTCTCCTCTCATCTCATAGCCAGAAAAACCTCAGTGGTATTTTATATTACAGTGGCGTTATTCATGTGTAAAACTGCTCCAAGCAATAACATTAATGATTAATGAAACTCTGCCTATAAAGCACATGCATATATTGCTGATTATCCATATATTGGGTCATTTTTATTATTGGAGAAACTGAAATTGTTGATTTTTTTGTTTCCCCCCCTGCCCATTTAATTGCAGGTTGTGTTTGAAACTTGGCCCACACCAGGGACTAAAAAAAGTCAGGACATCTAAAACCAGTTTTAAACATTTCTATTAAATTCTGGCTCTTCTCAGTGCTGCACGATTTCAAACAGTTCAGCTGAATCCAGTCATGACCAAATGAAAACATGCAAAATAAAACTTGTATTCATTAGACTATTTATAGGAAATAAAAACGGTGCACATTTTCCAACCCCCCCCCCATGCATAATTAATCACTATGTTAGATTTAAATCTCCAGTCTATTTACTCCATAAAAGGTTTGCTGCCACTGTAAGTCGGATCTGGAGAAACAGCTTCATAGGAAAAATAATTAGCGAGAGAATCTGAAGATTACTCGCGAGTCGCCGACAAACCGTCTTGCTACCCCGTGAACTTTTCATGCAACCTCAAACCTCAACGGATTTTTGTAGAAGAAAGGGTTCAGAGGAAACATGCAGGATAGTTTAATGCCATGTTAAAAGAGCAAACGCTTGGCCCCGCTTTGGAGACTACCCCCACTGCACAGATCTAAACTTACACTCTGACTCATTCACTCTCTCCAGGTGATGGATATAGGAAACACATGCTTCGAAAATTTGCCATCCAAAAGACTTTTATGGACAACGCTAAGGATCGGTTTTGAAATTTTGAGGGGGAAAATCGAAGCGCATTATCAAATCTTTGAGGAATCCCCGCCACATGACGGACAGGAAAAAAAAAAAAAAAACACAAGATTTGAAGGAAAAACGGGGCGTTTTGAGCACAGAGTCCAACTCCTATCGCTGTTATCTGCTGGGTGACAGTTATCACCTTGATTTAAAAAAAAAAAATGTTCATCCTTTTATCAGCTCTGCTGGCCCTATCAGGCCACGCAGACCTTTAAGAGTGCTGGATTGAGCGAGCGAAGGATTTAGAGGGCTCTGTTTTACAGCGAAGAACAGTGACATCGCCAGCATCAATCTGAGCGCTTTTTTTAGGTAATTCAACTTAATGGCTTTGCATTTTAAGCCGCAATCTCCCAGAACAACACGGCAGTAAAGATAAGGTTAGAGGGTGATTGAGAGGAGATAATCGGTTTAGTGCCGCTTTTCTCAAGCGACCTTGACCCGCGTTTGACAAAATCGGTGGAAAACGATAAAAAAAAAAAGTCAAATTGGGTAAACCCTGCCCCCCCCAAAAAAACACAAACACAGACAAAAAAAATAAAACCACACACACACTAAATGCAGGTTTTATTTTGAAGAAGAATCCACAGCATATCTGCTTCACAGCCAAAAGTCTCCAAAAGCAATAGCGGACTTCAGTAAACAGACTGAAAAAACATGGAAAAGGAAATTTACCGAACAATACCACTTGGTTTTCTTTATACAAAACACAAATTTCAAATTTTTTTAACCCATAATTAAATAAAAATATAATTAATGTAAACCTTATGTTGTCTTACAAGGGACTATCAAATCCACTCAAGCTAGAAGTAACTTAGGTGAACTTGAAGTCTAAAGAAGAGGTCAAATTTTGTTCTTTCCTGAGATAAAAGTATGGAGATAAGTAGAAACATAAAATACTGCAGTCACAGTGATTTGGTTGGCATTTCAATCAATAAAATTCCTCCAACAAAGCAGATCATTATTCTGGGTCGGTTCTTTCCAGAGCAACACAAAACCTCACCGGGCAGCATTACTGTAAACTCAGAGCAGGAAAGAGGCTGCAGTTTGTACAGACTCAATAAAATCCAACAATAACAGATGCAATGCAATGCCTAATCTTGTTTTCTGCTGCAACTTTCAGACGGTGGGTTCAGGATTGTGTAAATGGCACGAAACAATGGATCCGTCCTTCCGTATAACAACCATTTAAGGTTGTGGTGGTAAACCAGCACGGCTCTTTCTGAGGGGATCAGCAGATCACAACAGTATAAATATCTTTGAATTGTTATGTCTTATTTAATCCTCATACTTTATGAGCGATACTCCCGCACAAATCAGATAAGATTTGCATCATGTGATTGGCAGTGGGACTGTTTTTTTTTTTTAAAATTTATTTATTTATTTATTTTTAGCTTTTTCTTGATAAGAGCATCTGTTGCCTTTCAGAATCAGGTGTTTATTTTTAAATAACTTTATTATTATTCTTATTTGGCTGCAAAGCATAATTCTCTTGCTTCATCCTAGCCTATTGTATCTTCCTCTTTTAAACCAAAAACATAAATATTTGAGAGATGAACCGAACAACAAGCTGTGAATCCAGAACAGAAATGCCAAAAAATAATCAGTCCTGATAGCTACTGAGGCTGTTTATGTTTTATTAGCTTGTTAGGAAAGATTATATGGAGAATATGAGTCTCTACCACTGTTGATCTTGGAACAGTTTTCAACCTGATGATCTTGCGCTGCACATTCAATAAATTTCTTCACGTACAAGCTAACGTCTTACTGGATTGTCTGTTTTCTTAAAGATATGAAGGTATTGCATTTTTACAATGAAGTATACTTACCTCTTCTGGGAGTTTTATATGTGAAGAATAAAATTGAATAATTCAAGAATAAACAATCTTATTCCTTATTATCACGATGTTTTCGGTGATTTAAAGAAATGATGCAAAAATGAGTGATTAAACTGATTCAAACTTGCGAAACGTGACTTCTAATAGCAGAGATTATAATCTTCCAATAGGTGTTATAAACCAAAATGCTTATATATTCCAAAGAGAAAGTCCCACTTGCTGCTGAACGATAAACGTCTTCATC